GAGACGGCGCTGCGCCCAGCTGAGATTGTTTGTTATTGTTGACGGAGGGAGAGTCGGTACCCCCCACGGCGGCCACCGAGGGGGAGATAGCTGAACTAATCATGTTGTTAGCCTGGCTAGTAGGGTTATTCTTGTTAGGTGTGCTATCTTTCTTAAGGGTCTTACCGGCCTTACTTTGCATGATAGCAGGATAAATGTAGGCAGGAACAAATAGGGAAGACTCGTTGATAGGCAGCAGTGAACGTCGGGTACAGCTTCTTAGCTCCAGGGAGCAACACTAATGAGGTCGAAATGAGAGAATTACGGGTTGGTCTTGTTGGTTTTTTTCAATCACATATAGGTCACTGTGTACTTAGCTGCCTTCGGGTGATGCTACATCATTTGTTGGTAGCCGAGAGCTCAAGGATCAGCTGATAAAAGAGGAGGGAGGGCAGGGCCGACAGGTGTTGTTGACGTTCGTTCGTTATCTAATCCTGGTATTCACTGTCACGCAGGACAGGGTCATACACAAGACAATAGGTCTAAACTGTAGGCGGTAGCACATACTGTAGGTAATGCATGCACATGACTGTAAAGCTGCCGCCCAGTTGGGTGGGTGTGCAGCAAGACTAGTAACTGTGTGACTCACTATAGATGTAAAGTGCCTTGTATAGTGACTGTTGTGAGCCTCTTGTTGAATCACTTGTGACACAAAAGATTATTGATGTGTGTATTTGTGTGATTAAATATGTATGCGTATGTATATATTTATACGTATGTATATGTATGCATGAGTATGTGTACATGTATATATAACATTAATAGTTTTGTAACTGGCGTCAAAAGACTGTTATTTGCTTAGCTAAACGAACTAGAGGGTTCAGTTCCTGAACCGATTATGTGCTTCTGTAATCCTTTACACCACCGCCCACGGGATGGGTATGGGGTGCATAATAAAGAAAACAAATGAATTGAATTGGAAGCACATATATATCATGGTTACAATCAATGTTTTAATTTATGGATATGTGAAAACAACTTTCTATTGTGCACTGCCACACAAGGGCAGGGATGGGTTCATAAGTGATGCAGCTTAGAAGTAATATAAATAAAAATTGTTCATTTTTTAAAATGGACAAGCAAATTTTGGATAAATTGTTAGGATGTCGTCCAGAACACCTGAGTCAATGAAATAGTTACACAGTTGGTGGTACAAGAGGCCAGGAGGTCTAAAGTCTTTTACGGTTTCACATTCAACACTATAGTATTCTAGGGAATGCATTAAAGGTTTATCACAGAGTTTATAATCTGAATATTCTGTTAGTGGCTCAGCCTCACTAACCTGCCAGATGTGCCTATAGCCAAGGCGAATTCGCGCAATGACTACATCACATTGTCTGGTCCGGTTACTGTGCTGACCATACAAATACCTATTATTACAAAACTTGTCATGACTTTTAATACTGCAGCTTTCAGGTTTCTGGGCATTTCTTAGTTCTTCTAAATCTGAATTAATTTCTTTAATTTGTATGTTTCTAATAATTGCATTAGATAGTCCAAAGTCATAATCAATGTTTTCTTTCCTGCAAGCCTCATTGGCCAATCGCTCTACAAAGTCATGTTTTCCAACTCCAACATGGGATGGGATCCACACAAATTTTATACAGTAGTTATTATCATTGGCAAAAATTACATTCCATTTAATATTACAAGCTACTTCAGACATACATTGTGATGGGGTATTTAAGGATTGCAGGGCACTTTTAGAGTCACAGAAAATAACTCCACCACCATTGAGCTTAAGGTATTCAGTGGGTAGATAAATGCCCAATAGCTCGGTCTGTGTCGTGCTTGCCCAGTTGTTCAATCTGTGTACTAGAAATAATCATTTCATTCCCTTTCTATACTGCACATGCACAACCTGTTCTACCAGTGCCTAACTGCACAGAACCATCAGTAAAGGCATAGGATTCAGTCGGTTTGAGATTTTGAAGATGACTGTCAATATCTACTAGTGTTATACAGCTCAAAATTTCAGTGTTATACATTTGTTTTACACTGATGGGGGGTATAATGCAAAGAGACCTGCACCTCGGAGAGGTCAGAAAGAGTAGCATGGAGGGTGAATAGATTCCAGTCAGTTTTGGTAAACTGCCACCTAGGGAAGGAGAGGGGAAGGTGAAAAGAGAAAAAGGTGACAAGGATGGGGAAATGGTCACGTTATGGAGGTCGTCAAGAATCCACCATGTGAAATCTAAGTAAAGAGAAAACGAGCAGAGAGAAAGATCAAGACAGGAGAGGGTGGGAGTGCGAGAGTCAACATGAGTGGGTTCACCAGAATTCAGAAGAGACGGGGAAGAAGAGAGGGCAAATAGTTCTAGAAGGCGGCCCCGGGTGTTTATCAGAACATAACCCATGATGGTATGGCGACATATAAAATCACCCAACAGGAGCACTGGCTCTGGTAAGGAGTCCAACAGATGTTTAAGAACAGGAAGAGAACGTGGGATATTGGGGGAGAAAAAAGGAACAGACTGTATACCATTTACTCACATTCAAAATTCAAAATTCAAAATGATCTGCTACCGGAAGTCTTCGCTAAATATCCACAGTTTGCTAACTGTAGGTAGTAACTAAGTAATTCTAACCTATCCCCCGCTGCTTACTGGATGGGGGGCAGTGTGCAGGACAAACATACCAATTGTGACACTAGCTCTCCACATGTCACTTGCTTACTAATTTAGAAACTGTACTTGTGGTCGGTCTCGAATCCATTGTTGATGTAACGATGTGCATTGAATTTTGTAACTAGCTCATCAAGATTGTAACTTGCTTAGCTAAATGAATTGTGGGGTTCAGTCCCTGAGCCCATTATGTGCCTCTGTAACCCTTTCCACTACCGCTCACAAGATGGGTATGGGGTGCATATTAAACGAACTAAACTGATAATCCTTGGGTGCCCTCGTACCACAAAGATACTTAATATGAGAAAGGAACTTAATATTCTGAGCGTTGTTGATCGTGTTACTGAAATTAACTGTCAAATTGGTATAAAAATGCTTAGGCTAACTCATCCTAATCCTTGCGCAGAAGCCCTCCAGAATTTCTTTATTGAAGATCAGCATTGTTCCAAATGGATAACAAAAACTGGAACTCAACTCAGAATGTATCAGGTTCATGATTTGTACCAAGAGAAACAACAGCGGCACTTTCCTGCACCGTGGGAGGTTACACCCTTTCCAGTTTTAATCCCTCCCTTTCCACCCAAGAAGCAAATTAGAGATCAGCCCAAGCTTCGTCTTGAGGCAAAGCTCAACGCCTTAAGCCATATTGATGCTCTGTCCACAGAGCATTCTCTCTCTCAAATTATATACACTGATGGTTCCCTACACCGCACCACGGGTGCAGCTGGAAGTGCAGTTGTCCTGACAATGGGCGATGGCCTATACTTTGAGTGGGGAGTCCGTATAAACAACTGGGCCTCTACCCTTCAGACTGAACTATTTGCCTTGATCCTTGCACTGAAATGTGTACAAGTCTCAAAACTTGATACATTAATTGTAAGTGACTCCTTGTCATCCTTAAATGCTCTCAACTCTTTAAGACATAACTGTAACATGCTCGTGTCCGAAGCTAGACACAAATACAACAAAATTATTAAGGATGGTAACAGAGTCCATTTCATGTGGTCTCCATCTCATGTTGGCCTCCGAATGCATGATAGAGCTGATAAGTTAGCCAAAGAATCTGCCTTTAAAGGAGCCGTTGAGTGTAACCTTGGATTGTCAATGAGCAATCTGAGAGCAGCTGTACACCGAGAACTTCAACAAGATCTTGTAGATCTGAGGCAAAGTGAAATTGACACCAGTAATTCCATCTATCATCATACTATCATGCAAGAGGAGCCACACATCTATGGATCATCCAATCAAATCAGCAGACTTCTAGATGTTACTACTGCTCGGCTTAGACTCGGTTACAAGTATCTCTGGGAATTCTCATTATCTGCTGATGTAGACCTGACCAAATGTAAACTGTGTCAACAAAATTATTCGCACACCCTCCGTCACTATGTGATGGAGTGCGAAAAGATACGTGAATTTAGAGACAATTCTATAACCAATGTTCCAGCGATGTGTCAATATTTCATTCAAAATGATCTGCTACCAGAAATTTTAGCCAAATATCCCCAGTTTGCTAACTGTAGGTAGTAACTAAGTGATTGTAACCTATCCACCGCTGCCCACTGGATGGGGGGCGGTGTGCAGGACAAACATATAAATTTTGACACTAGCTCTCCACATATGTCAGTTGCTTAATTTAGAACCTGTACTTGAGGTCGATCTCGAACCCATTGTTGATGTGATGACTTATATTGAATTTTGTAACTAGCTCATCAAGATTGTAACTTGCTTAGCTAAATGAATTGTGGGGTTCAGTCCCTGAGCCCATTATGTGCCTCTGTAACCCTTTCCACTACCGCCCACAAGATGGGTATGGGGTGCATAATAAATGAACTAAACTAACTAACTAAACTAACCGCCTGTAAGATATGTAGTAACATGTGTCTGAGTCTGTGTGATTTTTCTATTAAGGTTAGCACCAACTGATGAAAAGAAGCTACTAAATTCAGTTGCCGGTTCTAAATCAGTTGCAGATGTATAACTATCCTTAGAGAGTTTAATGTGCTTGTTATGTGTTTGCTGTTTAGATGCTAGGATGTTAGAGATGACTTTCCTTATGCTTTTCATGTTTCCTTTTGCTTCTTTGAATCTACTCTCATAATAGGAAAGTTTCGCTCTTCATATTATACTGGAAAGCATTGATGAGTATCTCTTAACTACTTATTTTGTAACTAGGCCAATGCTATTTTTTTCATATTCATGTTTCTTGTTGATTGCTTTGAGTATACCACTTGTGAGCCAGGGGTTGTTTAATCTTTTAGCAGTTACTTGCTTGGTGAGGAGAGGAGAGTGAGTGTTGTACAGGCTTAGAGTTTTGGAAAGAAAGAGGTTAGTTAATGAATTTATATCCTGTGTATTATTGAATTCAGATTCCCAGTTTATATTGTGAAGTGCATTTGTGAGGTTGACCATTGCTGCTTCACTGTGTAACATGAATGCAAGTTTCTGGGTATCTGGTGGTGTTATGTCCATATGTGCTATGTTAAAGGTAGGATAGTGGTCAGAAACTGTATTTGTAGCGCACACTTCAAAAGCCGTCAGATATTCTACACAACACGTTCACACACAAGTCTTGTGTATATTGCTGACACATACAATAAAGAGTAAGCCTAAAAATTTAAATCTAGTACTGTATATTTAATACAATTTTTTTATCTATTATCATCCTGATGTTGAGGAAGAAGATAAGGAAAGTTGCAAGATGTATCTGTAATTGAAGGTGAATGACACTATTCCCAGAATTATTATAATAGATGCTATAGCTGCAAGACTGAGCGTGTTAGACATACATTTGACACTATAAGATCATAAAAACAGCTCTGATTTGACTGCTCTAGAAAAAAATACCTAAATACCAAAAATACCTAAATAGAAGAAGCCAACCCATCCTCCTATTTTGGTAGTACTTACAGTAACGATGAGGACCATAGTACATATATCGACGTACAACGCAATTAGAAAGAACTCTGTTCTGTTGAATTTAGAAAGAGCGGAAGAGGCTTTGTATATATGATGCAAAAACAAATTAATCTAACCTAACCTTCCTAGGCCTAATATACGCTATATGAAACCTAATATAGTACATATATGTGCTATACTAGGTCTAGGAAAATTTAAGTTTCTATTTAGCTTCATTTTTTTCGGACGCATTAAAGTGAATAGCACCAAATTCTACTGTCTGATTGCTTAGTACGTCAATGTTTGTAACTATGGTACACACAGTTACACAAGCTAAATATGAGGCTGGGTTGTACAGTACCGTGTGCGGCGTCGCGGGTTAATGGTAGTAACTTGGTAGTAGTAGTAGTAGTTGTTGTAGTAGTTGTTGTAGTAGTAACTGGGCTAATAAGACTTGGCCGATCGGCTAGTAAGAGGTGGTGGATCCTGGGCTAGTAGGACGTGTAAGTCTTGTGCTAGTTGGGTGTGGTGGGTGCTGTGCTAGTAGGTGGTTGGTCCTGTGCTAGTTGGTGGTGGATCCTGGGCTAGTAGGACGTGGTGGGTCCTGGGCTAGTAGGACGTGGTGGGTCCTGGGCTAGTAGGACGTGGTGGGTCCTGGGCTAGTAGGACGTGGTAGGTCCTGGGCTAGTAGGACGTGGTGGGTCCTGGGCTAGTAGGACGTGGTGGGTCCTGGGCTAGTAGGACGTGGTGGGTCCTGGGCTAGTAGGACGTGGTGGGTCCTGGGCTAGTAGGACGTGGTGGGTCCTGGGCTAGTAGGACGTGGTGGGTCCTAGGCTAGTAGGACGTGGTGGGTCCTGGACTATACTAGCAGGAGGTGGCGGTGGACTAGTAAGTAGTGAGAGGGGTCACCCAGGGGAGGTTGTCCAGGTCAACGTTCCCGCCACACAGTATGACCCCGACCTTGTGTGCTGCTGGAGCCACTTCACCCATTAACTTGACTCCGGCGTACACTCCGGCTCCAGCTGCTGCCTCAACAACTTGCTGTGGAAAACCAGAAAATTTATAATGTATAATATAATTTAAATAATAAGTAATTAATTATAGCCCCTTACTGTAGATATAAATGTAAAGTGAGATAATTGAATGGATGGGTGCTAACTGATAAAGCCAGTTCTTTAGGATTGGCCTAGTTAGAAAAGAAATAGTTAAGAGATACTCATCAATGTTTACCAGTAAAATAAGAAGAGCGATACTTTCCTATTATGAGAGTAGATTCACAGAAGCAAAAGGAAACATGAAAAGCACATGAAAAGCCATCTCTGACATCCTAGAATCTAAACAATAATCACATAACAAGTTTTAACAAGATAAAACTCTCTAAATAACAGATTTAGAACCGTCAACTGAATTTAGTAGCTTCTTTTCATCAGTTGGTGTTAACCTTGCCAGAAAAATCCCACAGACACAGACACATGTTACTACATATCTTACCGGCAGCTATCTTAAGTATCTTAACTCTCTTCTCTCACCAGTCAGCCCTACAGATGTGTCAATCATTCACTCACTAAAAACCAAAGCTGGGAACATTAGTGAAATACCATCCATGGTATACAAGAGTGCCTTCCATTCCCTTGCGCCACCATTAGCTCTGCTGTTCAACAAATCTCTAGAGTGTCACACCTTCCCTGATATCCTTTAAAAGCACGAGTAACGTCAGTTCATAAAGGAGGCGATACTGCAGACAAACAATTACTGACCGATATCTAATCTACCTATATTGTCAAAAATATTTGAACAAATTATTTACAAACAGCTCTACTCCCACCTCGTAAAATTCAACATGTTAAGTCCCTGTCAGTTTGGCTACCGCTCCGAAAAGAGTATCAACGATGCAATTATTAGTCTGTTTGTGTTCTACACAATATGTTTGTGTTTGATATAATCTACTCAGCCCTTGACAAAAATGAGTTCCCAATTAGGCTCTTCATTGAACTGAGAAAGGCCTTTGTTACTGTAAACCATAACCAGCTCTTACTTAATCTTCACCATTATGGAATCCGAGGCTTTGCCCTGAACTATATTCGATCCTATCTTAGTGACAGACACCAATAAGTAGCCATCAGACGATTGTCATGCCCTTCAAAATGATCTAGATAAAATAAGTGTTAGTAACATCAAATGACAAATGGAATTCAATGTGAATAAATGCCATGTTATGGAATGTGGATTCGGAGAAAATAAACCACACACAACTTACAAATTATGTGGAAATTAATTACAGAACTCTAATAAAGAACGAGAACTAGGGAGATTTTAGATAGTGAGCTGTCACCAGAGGAACACATAAAGAACATTGTGAGAGGAGCGTATGCGTCGCTTTCCAACTTCAGACTTGCTTTTAATTATATGGATGGTGAAATACTGAAGAAAACTGTTCATGACTTTTGTGAGACCCAAACTGGAATATGCAGCAGTTGTATGGTGCCCAAATCTCAAGAAGCACATAAAGAAAATGGAAAAGGTGCAGCAGCATGCTACAAAATGCCTTCCGGAACTGAAAAAAACAAGAGTTACGAGGAGAAACTAGAGGTGTTAAACATGCTAAAACTAGAAGATAGAAGAAAAAGAGGTGATATGATCACCATTTACAAAATACTAACAGGAATCGACCAAACTGACAAAGAGGAATTCTGAAACCAGCAACTTCACGAACAAGAGGACACAGATTTAAGGTAAGGAAACAAAGGTGCTGAAAAAATATTAGAAAGTTTTCTTTTGCAAACACAGAGGTAGACGGTTGGAAGAAACTAAGTGAGAAGGTGGTGGAGGCCAAAACCGTCAGTAGTTTGAAAGTGTTATACTACAAAGAGAACTGGGAAGACGGGACACCACGAGCGTACCTCTCATCCTGTATCTACACCTAGGTATATATCAAATAATAAACCTGAATAGTACACAGGCCGCACTTTAAATACTTGAAAGTTCCAAATACCTTTGATGGGACTAGAACCTCCGCTCGCGTTATGCAAAGCCTAGTGCTGTACCACTGTACCACCACCCAATAAAAGCATAGGAGACTATGAACTCTTTCAACCCCATGCCCGAGTGCATTCCGGTTATGTGGTCAACTATTTCATCTAGTCCAAGTTTAAGTCACAGAACATGAAATATCAAATTGAATTGAAATTGAAATTGAAATAAGTTTATTGAGGTAAAATACACACAAAGGGATGAAATGGTAATTTTTACGGGCTCACCCGGTGGAGATTTTGTTCCGAGTAGCTGAATCTAACAACAACAACAACGGGAAATAATGTTAATGTTGACATCTCTACCGAATTCTCCTCGCCCACCGTATAACCCAATGATTGATTGACATCCCCATTATTCCTCTATTTCTCCAAAATTAAAAAAAAATAGACGGACATCGAACTTCACGGTATAGCTTTAATAATCATAATAATAATAATAATAATTTATTTACAAGAAGGTACAATGGGTTAGTGAGAATACATTAGAGTGATATTTTGACATTCTTACAAAGCCAGTAACACGCATAGCGTCTCTGGCAGGTCCTTAATCTAACATATCAGGTAAGATGAAAAGGTACATTGTAGGGAGGTTTTATATCAACATATAACTACAATATAAGTTGACACAAGTGACTACACTAGTGAAGATATATATGTGTTAAGTACTAACATTGGGAAGTGGGTAGTACAAGATACAGTGTGAGTTTGAAGCACAAGCTACGAAACTATCAGGATCACATTACCTACTTTGGGATTTTACTTTTAAATAGGCCATGAGCTGGACAAGTTGTTAATTCATCAGGGAGTGACTTCCATAGACTGGCTCCTTTTATTTACATGAAGTATTTGCACAGATTTAGTTTGACTGGGGATATCAAAGATATATTTATTTCTGGTGTATTAATCATGGGTTCTATTACCCATGATCCCCCACCCATTACCCATTAAAATATACCTCTTATCACCATTTATGTTTTGTATGGAAAAAGGAGCGATTTTACGGATCACAGTCCTCATAATGGACCGAGTCCCAGAAATTCGGTCTTTTTTCGAAATCGGTCCTGTCCACCTTTGTGCAAGAGGCACAAACCTCAACAAAGTTCCACTAACCTTCATGTGTACGAAAGCGAATTTCATGCCTTCAATCATTTGGTGATCAGTCACAGTGAAGACTCTGGGGCTGGCATACTTGCAGATGATGGGGAATGCTAGGTGGCCAATCTTGATATGGAACATCAGTGAAGAACAAGTTACTAAGTAAAATCAGAGAGTTAACAAAATTTTAATATTAAAAAATGGTTAGATTTAGAGATGAGTGTACAAATCTTGTTGATAATTTATTACAAAGAGGTGTTTCCTGCATCACTTAGTTCCTTCGTTAGGCAATATTATGACTAAAAATGGAACGACAAAAATCGTTGCAGAATTAAGTTGACTCTTATACCAGGAAAGGTTAAGGGCCGCAGGACTAACAACACTGCCTGGAGGCCTGGTAGCTGAGTGGACAGCGCTCTGGACTTGTAATCCTAAGGACCGGGTTCGAACCCCGCTGATGGCAAAAACAAAACAGTCAGAGTTTCTTTCACCCTGATGCCCCCTGTTACCTATCAGTAAATAGGTACCTGGAAGTTTGACAGCTGTTACGGACTGCTTCCTGGGGGCGTGTGTGTGTGGGGAAAAAATAGTTAGTAACACTTGATTGATTAACAATTGAGAGGCGGGCCGAAAGAGTAGAGCTCAACCCCCGCAAGCACAACTAGGTGAGTACAACTAGGTTAATACTACAAACCAGACATGACAAGGCTGATTCTCATCGAAACTTTTAAAATACCGAACATTTTGGAGTATATTGATCCAGACCACTTCTTTAAAAGGTCAGATGTAACACAACTAAGGAGCAACGGAACACAGGGAGAGATCACATTGTCGTTGATATATATTAATGCGAAAATCCAGAGGAGCCGTGATGAGGACTGCGTTTAGAGCGCACGTTTGGAGCCCAGCGCGTAGGTTCGAATCTTCTTCACAACTGTGGATTTTTTCAAGGAGCAACGGTTTCTAGCTCAAAATGCCACAATGTAGGACTGAGAACATGAGGTCCTTTTTCACCCAAAGGATTATAAACCCATGGAACCGCCTATCCGCCGAAGCCGTAAATGTTAAAACACTGCTGCAATTCAAGATCAAGTTCTATAAAATCATCAGGAAAAAGGGAGGACCTTTGAAAAGCCGCCAGCTTCCTGTGAAGACAGGAAGCTGGCGGCTTAACCTATAATAGGTATAGGTTAAGTAATAATTGTAATTACGAAGCAATAAGATGCTTATCTTAAGATACTAACAAGGTTAGGTAAGGTCGGTGTTTTCTATGAATCTTTTTAAGGGTATCTGTTATGTTTAGTATATCACCTATGCACGTAGTTAATAAGTCAATATTGACTTTACGAATTTGCGAGAACGGGTTGGTCTTCACTGAGGACACCAGAACGATAGTGGCCTTCAAGTAAAAATACAGGCAGGCAAATCGACGTTTCGGCCCGGTGTGGAGATGTTTTATACCATCCTCACCGGGTCATGCTGGAGCAAGGAAGACACGTGTAACCATCACTAGATTTTTTTTTTTTTTTTTTTTGGAGATATATACAAGATTTGTTACATTCTTGTACAGCCACTAGTACGCGTAGCGTTTCGGGCAGGTCCCTGGAATACGATCCCCGCCGCGAAGAATCGTTTTTTCATCCAAGTACACATTTTACTGTTGCGTTAAACAGGCTACAGTTATGGAATTGCGCCCAGTAAATCCTCCCCGGCAAGGATACGAACCCATGACATAGCGCTCGCGGAGCGTCAGGCGAGTGTCTTACCACTACACCACGACCACGGAGACTGTTTGCACCTGCATGTCAACAAAGTATTTTGGCGAAGGAGATCTTCATAGTTCTACTGATTAGACAGCCTGGTCCAACTTTGACGCTGGACGAACAACTGACTCCTGCTGCGCCTGAAGGGTCGCTGGAAAACAGGTTATCTTGAAATGATTTCGGGGCTTTAGTGTCCCCGCGGCCCGGTCCTCGACCAGGCCTCCACGCCCAGGAAGCAGCCCGTGACAGCTGACTAACATCCAGGTACCTATTTTACTGCTAGGTAAAAGGGTGAAAGAAACTCTGCGCATTGTTTCTCGCCCGCGCCCGGGATCGAACCCGGGACCACAGGATCATAAGTCCAGCGTGCTGCCCGCTTAGCCGACCGGTTCCCCAGGTCACGATCCCCCCCCCCCTTTTTGTTTTTTTTTTAGATATACAAGAGTTGTTACATTCTTGTGTAACTTTGCCCGCTGGGGTTTGATACTGCCGGACGGCATCACTCTTCAAAAACCCTGACTGATGCGACGCCTGGCACACATACATCGCTATGGGTTAACAGGTAATTGGTCAATTTTGAACGTTTTCTATCCATATGGGCACAGAGAGAGAGAGAGAGAGAGAGAGAGAGAGAGAGAGAGAGAGAGAGAGAGAGAGAGAGAGAGAGAGAGAGAGAGAGAGAGAGAGAGAGAGAGACAGAGACAGAGAGAGACACAGAGAGACAGAGACACAGAGAGACAGAGACAGAGACAGAGAAAGAGAGAGAGACAGAGAGAGAGAGAGGAGGTCCTGCGCATGCAAGTCGATTCTCACAATCGACTTGAGAATGGTCCAGGACGGACCGAAACGTCGTCGTCCCTTCACCTTCTAGTGTGTGGTCTGGTCAACTTAGGATTAAGGACCTGCCCGAAAAGCTATGAGTGCTAGTGGCTGTACAAGAATGTAAGAACTCTTGTACATATAAATATAAATAAAATGGAGCGCACCAGAGAATTGTAAATTTGAATAAATTACTTTCGTTTCTCTTGAAGTCAAAGGTTCGTCTGACTATTCCTTATACATTTTTTTACTACAGCTCTCAGTTGTGCGACTCTCAATGACTGATAAATTTTGACTCCTAGGTCCTTTTCTTCATCATTTTGCTGCAAGGTAATGTTGATTTGGTAGTTGTGATGTGGTCTTGCAATTTTCAATATTAAAATACATTTGCCAATCTTCCGACCATTTGAGTTCATGTAGATCTCTTTGTAAGACCTCAGTATGATTTTCACTTCCTACTTTATTATAAGTCTCGATGTCGTTTGTAAATTTCATGATGTGTTTTATAATACTCTCATCTATGTCATTGATGTATGTGACAACTAGGGTTGGTCCTGAGGATTGAACCTTACGGTGCCTCACTCATCAAATTTATCAAGAAAATTTGAATTTCATTTCTAATTTCAAAGAATTTGAATTACACACTGCTAATACCTTCTTTCATAATACTGACGTAATAACACTAAGGTAATAATACTGACGTACTAACAATAGTGTAATAATACTGACAAAGTAACAACGACAATGAAAACCAAAATGTAACTTTCTGTAACGTGTATCATTTATACTTGTTATATTATAAGTGCCATACCGTTATCACTTAAAATAACCTTTGCAAGAAAAACATTAATGAAACCAGTTACAATTCAATTTTACACTGCAACTTGCACATTCTTACCGCTCGCAGCCTGATGGCGTCTGCCACGGTGTGGAGGAAGGTCGAGGGCTCTGGCCATAGCCTCTGCTTTGCCTTAAGACATCTCTGGAGGTCTTTCCCCACTGGTTCAACAGCATACACTGCAATAATCACACACAACGTAAACATCTGGGTTAAGTCTAACCTGCCAATTAGTGCTCACTCTGTTCATACAGCAAAAATTTTACTCTCAAACTTAGCAGTTTATAGGCTAAGACTTAGAGTAATGTAGGAAATGTATATGTTTATCTCTCAGAATGTTTGGTAATATGTTTATTGTTTGTGATGTGTGTCTATGTATATATTAACACGATGTACTGAGCAGGGTGAGAATAGCTTGAGCTACCTCATTCCTTTGTGTGTATTTTACCTCAATAAACTTATTTCAATTTCAATTTCAATTTAGAGTAATGATACAAATATTTTAGTTACCCTTACCTATTGTAAGTATAATTTGGTCAAAATATAGAACTTCAATTTTCTTACAATAATACTAAGCTTTGAAATGCTTTAACTAAATGTTTCTTTGACGCACAAGCTCAATTTTTTTTGTTATCATCATCTATACTGGTGGTAGTATCGTCTAGGTGGAAGTGGTAGCCACCTTATACAACTCTGGTGCCCACAGACAAAAATCTTACCCTGACATTTTGGTTGTATATTTTGTGCTACAGCCGAAACGCCCGCCAACATGCCCCCACCACCCGTAGCTACAACTATTGCATCAAGATCTGGAACCTGAAAATTTATGCATAAATCAAAGTTCAAACGAATAACTATGCAGGAAATTACTGAACTTGACAATACATCTCATTCTTCATACTATTACTGAACTTGATAACACCTTACACCTTATACTAATATGGAACTTGACAACACATCTTATACTTTATACTATTACCGAACTTGATAACACCTTACACTTTATAATAATGCTGAACTTGACAACACTTTATTCCTTATACTGAGAAACTTACTACAATGCCGTATTGCTTGAATGGAGATGAAGGAAAGACTCAGTATATGTGGTATTAAAAAACAAATTTTTGGATGCAGCCTAAATCCTTTCTCAAGATGCTGTATTCAATGTTCTGAACACGATTCTAGGAGTTGGCGTTCATAAGTCTTGAAATTCCTTCAAAATTGAAGTATGATGTTAACTCATACATCATACTTAGTTGAGAACACAGCATACCTTATACTAATACTGAGCTTGACAACACATCATATCTTATACTAATACTGAACTTGACAACACATCATACCTTATATACTAATACTGAACTTGACAACACATCATACCTTATACTAACACAACTTAACACATCATTACTTATACTAACACTGAACTTGACAACACATCATACCTTATACTAACACAACTTAACACACCATTACTTATACTAACACTGAACTTGACAACACGTCATACCTTATATACTAATACTGAACTTGACAACACATCATACCTTATATACTAACACTGAACTTGACAACACATCCTACCTTATACTAACACTGAACTTGACAACACATCATACCTTATACTAACACAACTTAACACACCATTACTTATACTAACACTGAACTTGACAACACATCATACCTTATATACTAACACTGAACTTGACAACACATCCTACCTTATACTAACACTGAACTTAACAACACATCATTACTTATGCTAACACTGAACTTGACAACACGTCATACCTTATATACTAACACTGAACTTGACAACACATCATACCTTATATACTAACACTGAACTTGACAACACATCATACCTTATACTAACACTGAACTTAACAACACATCATTACTTATGCTAACACTGAACTTGACAACACGTCATACCTTATATACTAACACTGATCTTGACAACACATCATACCTTATATACTAATACTGAACTTGACAACACGTCATACCTTATATACTAACACTGAACTTGACAACACATCATTACTTGTGCTAACACTGAACTTGACAACACGTCATACCTTATATACTAACACTGAACTTGACAACACGTCATACCTTATATACTAACACTGAACTTGACAACACATCATACCTTATATACTAATACTGAACTTGACAACACATCATACCTTATATACTAACACCTAACTTGACAACACATCGACATTGTAGCAAACAGAAGAACAACATCATACCTCTTCTAAAAGTTCCAGGGCAATTGTTCCTTGTCCAGCCATGACATCGTAATTGTCAGATGAATGAATTATTGTTTTTCCAGTTTCTTCTGCTATACTGGCGCACGTGTCAACCCTGAGGACAAGCACATGGACAAGTACGCATGTCTGGGAGACAAAAACAATCACCACATTTACATACCATAAACAATGTGTAAAGGTATTGTATTGTGTTAACTCACGTCTTCTTATGAGGAGGTTTGTAGCGTGTTGAGTGACTAGAGATGTAAGATGATAGGTGGCAGAGTGAAGCCAACCTGTCCTCACACCTAATTCGTCTTTTTTTTACAGAATCGAGCAATCTGTTAAAATGTGCCGGATTGGTAAACATTGAGGTAGTGAATTATTGATGTTTTCTATGCATCGGCCTCGATAGGTTAGGTTGGTTGGTACGTTGCCTGGGTTGGTACGTCGCCTGGTTTGGTACGTCGCCTGGGTTGGTACGTTTCAAAAGTTTCATATTTACGGAGTGGCAAATCAATAGATCAGCTCTTACGGGTTATTCATGCCCGTGCCACCTCTTTGGTGGCTTAATCTTTATAAATCATCAATGGAGAGATCGGGTGATTGCGAGAGGCAGAGCTTATACAGACGATGATTCACGTGGCTGAAGACATGCTGACCAAGCCTCACACCACAAGATGAAGAAACGACAACGTTTCGGTCCATTCCGGACCATTATCAAGACGTATGTGATGTAAGCTTATACAGCTTATAGTCTATGTCTTTCACGTACTTTAGAAACCTGTATATCATTTGGTAAAATTAATTTAACTATTCATATATGTGAGAGTTGAATCTCTCAGTGCACAAATTTATTGCTTGCATAAGTGCTTGCAAGACACAACTTTGTTATTTTATATCCCAAGTGTGTCAAGTGGGGGTATCTATGGGTTCCTCTCTTCACGAGGAGTCTACAGAGGTCAACAGTTCTGACCTGGGTCATCTGGATCTGTTGCACTGGAGTCGCAATAGGCATAAGACCAGGGATGAGGTACCCTCTGGCAAGGGGGAAATTCTTGATACAACTTTAGGGGGGGGCAGGACAGGCTCCCCCACCCCCCTCCCGAAACGGTTGGAGGCTGACCACAAGGCTTGGCTATCCCCTTCGAAGTCAGTATGGTCCACTGGCGAGACACCGTGGAACTAGGAATGACGTTACGAGGTGCCAACATGCCGCTACAAATCAGATGAGTTCTCAGAAAAGGTGGGAGACGCCTATGGCTGTGATTGGTTACCAGGTGATAGCGTCACGGATTCTTGGCGGTTCCCTCGAGGCACTCCAGGAGTTATTCGGCCGAGGACAGCGACAGGAGGAGGAGGAGGATTGCTTTAAAGGGCTCAAAAGCAAGGCCTCTATCTCCTAAGTCCTAGAGTAACAGTTAACCCTAACACCAGTAATACACCAGATCCGAATCATTGGGTATTCCAGGTGTCAAAGGATTTACCTACCGTCAGAAGGATACAGGATCTACGACACCAGCAACGGTTCGAGGCCACATGTGTCGTACGTGAGGCACAAGCAGTGTGAAATACCTGCATGTGTGATTTCACAGGAAGCAGAGATAGAGGTGAAAGCTCGAGTAATCGACGAAGGGAAACAGTGTAACTCACCTGTGCTCGTATCTTGATTCACATTGGTAAGACTCAGTGTCAGGTGTGAGTTTGAGAGGCAGTGATTGTCGGTGAAGCAGTGATGCATCTTTGATGTTGTTGTTGGTTTAGATTTAGCTACTCAGAACGAAATGTCCATGTAGCACGGGCTATGGTGAGCCCGTAAACACACCTTTGATGACAACCAACTGTGAAATATCCTAAGAAGTGTGAAGAGCTTTGAAAGAGTGAACGTGTGGTGGTTCGCTATCTAGGTCAGAAGGAGGTGAGGTGGTATCCCTTGCCCGGTGTGTGTGTGTGTGTGTGTGTGTGTGTGTGTGTGTGCGTGCGTGCGTGCGTGCGTGCGTGCGTGCGTGCGTGTGTGTGCGTGCGTGCGTGCGTGTGTCTGTACTTTAGTACTTCTGTCTACGTTCCATGTTTTGTGGGAAATTCGAAGTTTTCTCGAATATGAACGGTATTTGACCATTCCTCAGAAAGCGACCCACAATGGTCGACTAACAACCAAGTTCCTAATTACTGCTAGGTGAACAGAGGCAACGGGTGCAAGGAGACGCGCCTAGCTGTCTCGCCCTGCCCAGGATGTGTGTGTGTGTGTGTGTGTGTGTGTGTGTGTGTGTGTGTGTGTGTGTGTGTGTGTGTGTGTGTGTGTGTGTGTGTGTGTGTGTGTGTGTGTGTGTGTGTGTGTGTGTGTGTGTGTGTGTGTGTGTGTGTGTGTGTGTGTGTGTGTGTGCGCACGTTCATGCATTTATCAGCCGCGCGGTGCAAAAGGAGAAGCAGGAAGCGTGAGGCATGCACATTCTTTTCTCAGGAAGTGGGGTTAACTGTACCGGCATTCTAAAGACTGAAGGAGTGAGGGTGGTAACTGATGATCGTGTCAAGGTGATTGACCAGCTCGGGTGGTGCAAACCAAGTTATCTCCTGGATTTACCTTGTCATCTAAAAAGCTGGAGGTCCGAGCTTGATCCAACATTGTTGTGGATACAGTGTTGGTCTCCCTCGCTTAAATCCGCAGTCTGCCTGTCACCTTGATCGTCGCCAACAATATGAATGAGGTGGTTGAATATAAGTACTAAAACCCGGGTTAAATTGTTTTGCACATGTTAATTTTGGTGATCAGTAATCACCCAATCTCGGATCGATCAGAGTATATCTGGCAACGAGCTTCCTCCCTGTTGGGATCCAAGGAGATTGTGGAAGTGTTAAAGTGTCAGCTCAGGGAGTGACGGGTCTTAACCTTGCGAGTGTCGCGTCGCTAGTGAGTGACCAGCGACGGATGTGTGTGTGTGAACAAACTTATATGATACACATTTGAGATAGGTTGTTACCATCTGTCACAGCAAGTGTTGGCAGTGATTGATTACTACGGTCGTCTTGGTGGCACGTAAGTGGTATGAGAGGAGGTTGTCTGTGCGGCACACTTCATATTATTATTGTCTGATTATCCAATTGTGTTGTTGTGTTGTCAAGTGACACTTTGTTATTGTTTCGTCTGTGTGATAAAACCATACTAAGGTATTATAATTATTGAAAGATTATAACTGATTGTTAACTGTCTGAGTGAGAGTGTGATTAATGTAAATTGTTAATTAATTGATTGTTGACTGTGTGAGTGACAGCGTGATTAACGTAATTTAATTGAGTGTTAATTAATTCATTGTGATTTAATGTATTGGTGACATTGTTAAAGTAAAGTTATTACTTATTGTTTTGACAGTCTTGGTGACAGTCTTGGTGACATCTTGTGACAGTGTTCTTTGTATTCATTTACGTGTGCAAATTTGTTGTGTTGGTGAAGTGTTTGATACTGCCAGTGGCGGGTGTAGTAATTGCTAAAAGTGTTCAAGAAGTGTTCAGTTAGTTCACTTTTGTTCATAGCCTGTCAAGTGGGTCGAGACTGGAGTCTCTTTCACACACGTGAGAGTGGTGGGAACGGGTTCCTGCTGCGAGCAGGTGTTTGACAGTTGTTGAGGTGACACTCTTCAATAACGTAACGAACGTGACTCACTGTGTATTAGTAACTAAATTGTTAAATAAATTTATTTTCATACACGTGCCTTTGGCGTCATGCTGAAGCACTGCCCCTATATTTCATCTACATTGCTACTTGACATTGTCATCAATTTGAGTTGGCTCAGGATCCAGCCTAGAGCCTCAAGCATTGAATACAAATTCAATGTGATGACCCATCCGCTACCTGCTAGATTTGCTTGCAAGCAAGTTGCAGAGCGAACGACCTAAGTGTGCAAGGTCTGGTATTGCATGTGCAGTAGAAGACCTTCATCCCCACCTGGACTACCCTGGCGTCTTACGCCTCCAGAGTGTATTCATTTGTTCGTCGCTTGGCTGTTGTGACCACTGCCAAGTGACCTCTTACAGCGTGGCTCCCACTAGTGTTGGTGCGGTTGCATGCAGTTGCAGGTAGAGGGGCAACAATAGCCAAGGCAAACATTTGAGTCCACACCCTAATACCCTGTAATCTCACATTCTGGCGCCCAACAAGGTGCTACTGAGAGTCTGTGAGGAAGGTATAATCTCACAATATATATTTGCTTCATTTTCTTATGATATTAAATATGAACAACACTCATTATCTTATATATAAAGGGGCAGATTCAACTAATTTACTCGTGAGAGATATTTTAACATTTATATTTCTTTTGTATTAGGCTCAAAACATACGTATGGATACTATAAACTGAGCTTAAAAAATAATAATAAACACAAAAGTATTTTAATATTTTTCAGTTCAAGTTTGAACAATTTTATTGCAAAGTCATTTTGATCGTATCATTCGGTCTAGGTTTTATAATTTGGGTTAAGGAAATTTATAATTTATGTTACCTAAAAAAGAACAAAAATGATCGCTTGGCGTTCCGCGAGCGCTTTGTCATGGGTTCGTACTGGTCGGGGAGGATTTACTGGGCGCAAATCCTTACTGTTTAACCCAACAGTAAAATGAGTACTTGGTTGTAAAAACGATTCTTCGTGGGGAGTCGTATTCCAGAGACCATAGGATTAAGGACTTGCCCGAAACGCTATGCGTACTAGTGGCTGTACAAGAATGTAACAACTCTTGTATATATCTAAAAAAAAATGAACCGTTCCTCGTGGCGTCACTAGAGCGTGCAAGGAGGAGGGGGACGCCTTTTGTTTAACCAGCAAATCTCTCGTGAAGAAGTTCTGTAGGCAGCCACGTTTATACTCGTGACCCGAGCCATCTTCAAGTTCTTCTGCTGCCGCTACCTCAAAATAACGGGAGTACCTCGTTTCCGGTTGGGTAAAACATTAACATTTTATTACTGAGCTCATTAATATAATAGACAGCCAGTGATGAGGCGGGCGTCAATCACGTAACAATTAATAATTTATGTGCCATATCTGTGATTAAGAAGGTATTTGCAGTAGCTATATTCTATCCATCCAGGAGATATTTTGTGGCAACCCGAAGAAATTAGCGACATCTACTTGTGGCGGGAGGTGAGGACGTGACACATAGCCACGAGGCCCATATACCTGGCTGTGTGTCCACGTGTCCAACACTTGTATCCATATTGAAGCCTTCAAATCAGATCAAGTGATTGAGTACTCAAACTAACTTCAGTAGATTAACAATTAAATAATTAGTATAAATTTTCCTGTCAATCGATAATTCTCGATTGATAGGCTACATCTAATAAACCCCCTCAACTTGTATAGGGATATGACTCACGGGTGAATTTAAATTTATACAGTCCACTCACTATGACATACAGTCCGCTAAGCTATTGTAAAAAATAAAATAATAATTAAATTTAAATTATAAATTAGAATACATTCAATTAATCAATTAATTAATAACTAAAATAAATAATAAAATCCCACGAGTCAGAATTCCCCACATCTACTACTACTATTACTACTACTACTACTACTACTACTACTACTTTATTCACAAAAGTATGCACACAAAACATATGACAGGTCTATTTCAATGTACAAGAGTGGCACTTAAAATGAGGCTACAAGTACGCAGTTTCTGCCAAAACTTAGAATCTTTCAGATACAAATAATTTATAGGTATAATGGGTAAAGACTTAATACTTACTGAGAAGTAAGCTACATATGAGACATGTTCAAGAAATATTAATTTGTTCATTTCTTGAACATCTCTTGATGTTCAAGAAATGTTCTTGAACAGGGAATACCTATGTCCTTGATTTATATAACAAATGAAATACAATATAAAGGTGATACTTATAATAATGATAATATCGTAGACTACTACATTATAGAATATGTAGTTTTAGCAACAGTACACAAATAGTTGTTAACATTATTAATAACAACAATGATATTTTTATATACAAAGATGCATCTTAGTAAAGTCACTAGAACATTAAGCGTTCCGGGCGTAACATAAAATAAATCAGTAAAATGTGAATGTTTATTGGGGTAAACATTTAATAATAAACAGGAAGTATGATAATATATATGAATTGAATAAGCAATTTAGAAAAAATTAATACATTACAGTAATCAGATGACAATGATGAATAGCATAGGGTTTTTTTTAGTAAATTAAATTTAAGATAACCGTAAAACACACAAAAACAAATTTCGATGGGGAAATATGAGGTGAGATTTTAAATTAAATTTTTTCCCCGAGGGGCGAGTTTATTAGGCAGCGCCACTCATCCTGTGAGTCAGGGGAGACATCTCCCGTCACGCAGGGTGCAGTCGCACCTCCACAGATCTCCAGTATCAGCTCTTGATACTGGTAATGGCTCAAAAGGGCCACCACTTACGGGCTATTCATGCCCGTGCCACCTTTAGGGTGACTTAATCTTCATCAATCAATCAATCCTGTGAGTGGACATACCGCCATAGCAGCATGTACAACACTCTCCAATAGGAAGAAAACCCGCTGGGTTGTTCATCCTGTCACTTGTACCCAGACACAGCTGGAACTTGCGTAACTGTCTTAAGTGAACAGCTCCTCAAACAAGAAGATTAACATTCGTCAACCCTTAAATACTTACTTTATTTTGTGGGTGCAATATGGGGGAATCTTTTAAGAACAGTATCAATATTTGACAAATAGTGTTTTTCTAACTCAAACAATGTGGGGTTTATTATTCTACACATATTCGTAATGACTATTAAATGTTCACACTCTCAGGTAGTGGTCTAGGCGGTGTCCATCACTCTCACCACAGATTCTGCAACCCCGCTGCTCAACTGTTGTTTCTATTCCGAATCTCAATGGATATTTGTATCCAAGACGGATTCTTGCTATTACTAATTCTCTCCGGCGGCCACCTCCTCTTCGTCCATAATGATTGGGATTGCCAGCTGCAGCCACATTGTACCAGCGTACAGATTCACTGATTTGTTATTCTATCCTCCTTTCCTCAGTAACCTTGTCATGGTGATATTGCCTCTAATTTGTAGAGGTCTTGGGTATGAAGTATTCAATATGATCTCCAGCGCCTTCAGCAGCCAGCACATCTGCTCGTTCATTTCCACAGATTCCAACATGGGAGGGAATCCACATAAATTTGACGACTGTTCCTTGATTGGTTAGTATCCTCATAACTCTCTTGATCTCAGCGACTATCGCAGGATTTTCTGTCCGATTTTTACTAAGGCTTTGTAGCGCTGCTTTAGAGTCAGTGCTGATCACTGCACCTTCAACGACTCTTAACGTTTCTTTCAACGTGTTTCCTTGACTCTTAGTGTTTTCTTCAACGACTCTTAACGCCATAACAATGGCAGTTCGGCTTGCGTTGAAGAAACAGTTCTCAATACGTGCTTTTCCTTCATTTGAGCATTGAAAGACATTATTCCTAATTACAGTGTATGCTGCACCAGCCCTGCCATTGACAGGGTTAGATGACCCATTAGTGTAGCTTTGATCTAATTCATTTCCAGTTTCTTTATAGATTTCCTCAAGATAATTGTGCCTCATTTCTTGAGTTATCATGTTGGACTTTTTGGTTGTCATCTCATTGATGATAATCCTGCATGGGTCATCCACCCAGGGAGGTAATATTACATTTGCGAAGTAATTTCACAATTTGGGACCCTTGATTTACATAGCATGTCTCCTTTGGTTAAGTCTCACTGAAGAAATATAAAAAAGATATTTGTTTCTCGTGTGTTGTCCATGGGTTCTGCTGCAGCCCTCCAGGAAGTACTTAAGGTCAGGATTAGCATTGCAGTGCAAAGTTTTATAGATACAGAGCACACTTGAGAGGATGTGCAGTGACTTGGTACTTAACATGTTCAAAAATCTTAGTGAAGGAACTGATTTATTATAAGTTATGCCCGAAACGCTTTGCCTATAAGTGGCCTTATGAAATAAACATTCTCTGTAACAATTATTAAACCACTGTATAATATTCCTTTGTACATTTAAAAAATATATATTATTATTATTATTATTATTATTATTATTATTATTATTGTTATTATTATTATTATTATTATTATTATTATTATTATTATTATTATTATTATTATTATTATTGAGAGGAAGCTGAGTACTGTCTGAGACTGGAGTTTGTAATTGTTTTAATTGCTAATTTATGTTGAGTGGTTAGGGGTAGGAGGTAGTATAAGGTTATAGATCCTCAGGCACTGCAGATACCATATGTGAGATAAGGATAAATGCAGGAATAATAGTTTCCAGTGTTTTGTATTTAATTAATCTGATAATGTTTTATGCTTGAATAGCAAAATATTACTAATTGGAAACGTACCATTATTAATTGCCATCTTTACTGGTGACTAAAAATATAAATAAAATACTTAAAGTTGACCGATTTTATTCAAATATAGCTCAAAATATAGTTAATGATCCTGGCTTTAAAATGGCAACAACAACAAAAAATTAAAACATATAGAGAAAATGACTGGGAAAGGACAAGGGAATGATTCCCTCGTTATGGGTACTGGACGACATTGTTGTTGTTTTAGATTCAGTTACTGGGAAAAAAAAGTTGCAAGTAGCACGGGCTATAGTGAGCCCGGAGTGGACTTACCTGGCTTATACCTTGCCTTACATGGAACGGGGCTGTAACTGAGAGACATGTGTATACTGTTGTTGTTGTTTTAGATTTAGCTACTCAGAACGAAATGTCCATGTAGCACGGGCTATGGTGAGCCCGTAACTCCATGTGTGTATACATATTCAGGTAAATATATGTACCTTGAATGCGGTGTGGGGTGACAGAAGACCAGGTCAGCCCCGAGCCTGCGGATAGCCTCACACTTGACTTTGGGAGTACCTCTGGGGACCACCACTGTGCACGGCAACTTCACACACTCTGTTAAATTACACCTTCTTAACAACACACGCCTACAACATCTTCCAATTATTTGTTGGAAATTTGCATTTAGTTGTGTACCATAGATCTCAGTGCTATAAATATTGATAGCACTGAGTAGGTACTGAAACTCTTGCTCTGTACATTAATTGTTGTATATAATAAATGTTATAACATTCCATGTTGAGTTTTCAAGTGCTTGAAGAGCTGACTTTGAATCACAGAAAATTACTCTACTGTTTTTCAGTGCGTTAGTGCCAAGTTGTAGAGCAGCTGATTCTACTTGTATGCATCTAAGCTAGGTGTTCAGTCTCACCCTTGTGGTCTGTGTACATCTGTTGAAATCTATATTCTACAGGCTGCTGCAGTGCGACCTGTTGACATTTGAACAGACCCATCAGCGTAACCATAGTGCTCGCGAGGCCGTAAGTTATTTATAAAGGAATCAATAGTTTCAAGTGTTGTTGCTTTCAGGAGTGCTAGATTTTCCTTCTTCTTTTTGCTGATGGGCGTGTAAGACACTTGTATTTCAGGGTACAGATATAATGGAATATCATTGGCTAATACTTTGCATACAATATGAATATTTAGTTTAATGAGACTGGCAACACTTCTACTCAACCAGCTTGCATATACTAGTGACCTAATGAACATCATGTAGAACATTCTGGCATATTTGGACTTGTGATCCTGGGTTCGATCCCAGGCGCCGGCGAGAAACAATGGGCAGAGTTTCTTTCACCCTATGCCCCTGTTACCTAGCAGTAAAATAGGTACCTGGGTGTTAGTCAGCTGTCACGGGCTGCTTCCTGGGGGTGGAGGCCTGGTCGAGGACCGGGCCGCGGGGACACTAAAAAAAAGCCCTGAAATCATCTCAAGATAACCTCAAGATACTGTAGGTTGCCCGCTGGTGCGTTGGCAACACTTTCCCGCCTACAAGCAGCACTAGTCAGTTCTTCTGTAAGTAGTAAGGGTGATAGTTGCTCTCTCATCACCTTCACACAGAAGGTAGTACTGGCTGCTCAATTCTTTCACATATGGTTGGGAGTTTCAGCTCCTCCTACATGTTGATGATTCTTGTGAATCTGGGAGCTCCAAGAATTATCCTCGTGGCATCATTTTGAATTTTCTATAAAGCTTTCAGCCTATTACTAGGGTGACTAATAAGGTGCAGGGCATGGTAGTCGACTAGTGACCTAATGAACATCATGTAGAACATTCTGGCATATTTGACATTAATACCAATGTGCTTTCCAGCAAGCGTTTTAAGAGGACTTAGCCTTTCTTTAAGCTTAAACTGTAGTTCACTTACAATGTCTATTTATATTCACGTCGAGGTATTTGCATTGCCTGCAGTTTTCAATGCGCTTATCATTGACATTAAAAACAGGAGGATTATTGATTTTTGGGCGGCATAATGTCGTTGTTTTCCCTGTGGAGACAATAAGCCCACATTCAATACATTTATTTGGGAGTGTGTTAAGGAGAGGCTGCAGCCGGTTGTCACTGTTTGCAATGACGCAAATGTCGTCTGCATAGCAGATGACAGCCTCATCGACTTGTGCAGGTAGGTCAGCTATTAGTCTATGCATACAACATACTGGAGTGAGCGATATGGAAGAAAATGCAGAATAGAACAAGTGAAGAGCAGTGGTGCCATAGGCACCTCTGCTTTGATGTCCACTCCAGTGGACATCAAAGGTCCACTGTTGTTCAACACCCTCCCAGCGAGTATCAGAAATAATGTCGGAACAATCGTGCACATCTTCAAGAGAAAACTTGATAGTTTTCTTCAAGAAGTGCCGGACCAACCGGGCTGTGGTGGATATGTGGGCCTGTGGGCTGCTTCCGACCAGCCTGTTGGACCAAGTTCTCTCAATTCGAACCAGACCTCGCGCCAGACTTGGGGAGTAGAAGAACTCCCAGAACCCGATCAAGCAAGTATGCATCAGCACATTGAACACCGTAGGACTGAGGGCTCCTCCCTGAGGTTTGCCCAATTCAAAGGAAGCATTATAGCTACTCTTAACTCCCCCCCCCCCCCTTATAGATGATTGCAGCAGTTCTGTTACTCAAATAACCCCTAATCTATTTCAACAAATCTCACCTGACTCTAAAAAAGCTATTTGCTCTAGGAAAGGATGAGTTTCCTATTATTTTTGTCAAAAGCAGCTTGAAGGTCAAGAAAGGCTACGCGAGTCTTTGGTTCCTGTCTGATGAAGAACTCCGCAAAGCAAGATTATGTCCTTCTCCCAGGAAGAGAGCCATACAAGTTTGAAGTGGGTTGACCTTTGATTTGCATTATTAGCCTACTGAGAAAATCCTCTCAAGGACCTTACACATGCGGGAAGTTACAGATTGTTCGTTTTTGGCTTCGGTATAGGTAGTATGAGGCCCTGAGTCCAGCGATCTGGTAGGGCACCTAGCCGTAGTCTCTACAGTTCTTGCAGCGGACTGTTAGGTATGTCGGAAAGAAGCCTCATGCTATTGTATATTATGCCATCGTCTCCAGAAATTGCTCTGCCGTTCTTAATTTACCTGAATTTACATGAGGCCACTAACACAAGTAGCCTCGACGAGGACAGGTAGCTGGCGGCTTGTCAAAAGCTCCTCTATTTGCCTTCATATTTTTCCGTTGGATTTCAATAAGTGATGAATCACAGACCCTCCGCCACCCCAAGATGCAACCCACAACAAATTAACCCCTGGGAACCTATTTACTGCTAGAATAGCCATTAGGTCATAGGAAACACGCCTAACTATTTCTGTACCGTCCGGAATTCTCGATTGTGAGCGAGAAGGACTCCTACTGTACCACTCATATTAGATAAGCTCAGGTCAGAATAGATGATGTTTATATTAGATGAACTCTTAATCTATATTTTGCAAAACTTCACGTAGAATAGGGTAGCAGCACATTGTTGTATGTGCCTAAGCATATTAATAAGAAAGTTTACTACAGACAGAGATTAGCAGCGCATTTATTAAAATTATTTAATAAAGTTGTATGTAAGATTCCTCCTCCCTCCGAGGTGCCTAGTACAAAGTGTCTTGTTACACTGTTATGCCTTTGGAACAATATATAGATGACTCCCTGTTGGATAAGTAACCTCTAATCCATAATAGGCTTTAATGCACTGACATCTCTTGATCTGCTATGAAATGTTCAATAATAATTAACATAACTTTAACAATTCTTTGTGTGTGGGAACAATATTTGTTCCCACACACTTTGCAAAAAAAAAATCAAGCATTATTCATATTCAGCATAATGTATTTCAAATATGTACCTTCAATACTGTTGTCTCCAGTTTACTTACAAGTGCACCACTTGTCATACACAAGTGCACCACTTGTCATACACAAGTGCACCACTTGTCATACACAAGTGCACCACTTGTCATACACAAGTACAGCACTTGTCATATACAAGTGCACCACTTGTCATACACAAGTACAGCACTTGTCATATACAAGAATGTGGCGAGGAGAGGTAAGGAGGAAAGCCGTGGAACTTACTAGCCGCGTATGCCAAAGCCTGGGCGTGGTTACCGCTACTGTGGGTGACGACGCCCACACTCTCAGGGTTCCTCTCCTTCTCAAGAAGCACCTGAAGACACAATAAAACCTTACAAAAACGCCTGTGTTGTTCCTTTACTATTCTCGCTTCACTGAGCAAGTATATATCAATTTAATTTTATTTTAGGTTCTGGCAACTGTGTATGAATTGAATGCTGCCTTCACCAGCGGCAGTATCACCTATGGCATAGGCTACTACATCTTGTACTCGCAGTAATCCATTACTAGAATTGTACAGTTATTGGGTTTGTATCCAACATAATTATTTACCTGAATTTACCTGATACAAGCAGGGTAGCTAAAGCTGCATGTAATGAATCTGAAATTGAACTAGATATAGGTATTCCAGTCTCTGTTGTCAAAATCGCACTATTCCAGGTAGAGAGAGCATGAGAATAAAGTAGCAGCTGAGATATGATGATAAGTGAGACCAATATGTACAAAGAGCGCACAAGACCGACCAAACAGTGGTGTGGTGGCTGCCACAATCAGGCCGGGATTGACTGATATACAGTCAATCGATTGTCAGGTGCCTGCAGGTAAACACACAAGGCCGCCACAACAGTCATCAACCCTCAACAAGAGCTAGAATACATAAACCAACACTATTGATTTGACTGTTGCCGCCAGTGGCAGCTAGTTTATTGTGCACCCCATACTCGTCCTGTGAGCGCTAGTTATTGTATAAGGATGCGTTCTGTTTTGAGAGGAAAGCGAATCTCAAGTGCATTCTGCCTGACTATATTTATCTGGTGTATAAGCTTGAGCAACTGAATATATAACCCCTTGATTGATAAAGATCGAGCCACCCAAGAGGTGGCATGGGCTTGAATAGCCCGCAAATATATAACATAATAATAATAATGTTTATTCAGGTAAAAGTACATACATTCAAAATGAGTTACAAACATACTGTTGGAGTTCTAGATAGAGCTAGTATATACTATGCCTAAAGCCACTAGTACTCAGTGTCTCTGGCAAGATCTCGGAAAAACACTTAGACTAAAACAAAACTAATTGAGATCAAATGCATAAATTGAATTGAAAAATGAAAACAAGAAGAAAAAATAATGACAATAATTACATGATGGATGGAACAGCAGAAATTGAAACATAACAGCAGAAGTAATTTTAACTAAATAAATAGAAGACTAAAATTTTCTTCAAGATGATACATGGCGGATATCAGCAGTTATACAAGTTGGTCAATAATCAATATTGTTTGAAAATAGCAATACATAGGTTGACATTTAGAGGGTAAGGAAGATTACATGGATTTTATGTAGTACTTAGTTTTTCTCTTGAATTGGTTGAGAGAGATACAGTCTTTGACATGATTGGGAAGGTCATTCCACATTTTGGGTCCCTTGATTTGTAGAGCATTTCTAGTTTGGTTAAGGCGCACGCTTGGATATCAAGCTAGGCATTTGTTTCTAGTGTGGTGCCCATGGGTTCTATTACAACCTTCTAGGAACCGTTTAAGGTCAGGATTGGCATTACAGTTCAGTTTTAAATATATACCGTGAAGAGTCCCCCAGGGAACTGTGCTTGCTCCAGTACTTTTTCTCATCCTCATATCTGACATAGACAAGGACACAATCTATAGTACTGTATCATCCTTTGCAGATAACACTAGGATTTTTATGAGAATGGACAACATAGAGGACACGGCAAACCTCCGATCAGATGTAAATCAGGTCTTTCTATGGGCTACAGAAAATAATATGGTGTTAACGAAGATAAATTCCAACTCATGCGCTACGGATAAATGAAAATATAAAAACGGAAACCACGTACAAAACGCATTCAAATCATAACATAAAACGAAAAGGCAATGTAAAGGATCTGGGTGTACTCATGTCGGAAGACCTTACCTTTAAAGAACACAATAAAGTAGCCGTCACAACTGCAAGAAAAATGACAGGTTGGATAACAAGAACCTTTCACACTAGAGATGCTATACCGATGATGATACTTTTCAAGACGCTAGTGTTCTCTAGAGCGGAATACTGTTGCACAATGACAGCCCCTTTCAAAGCAGGAGAAATTGCTGACCTGGAGAGCGTGCAGAGATCCTTTACTGCAAGAATCCACTCAGTAAAACATCTAAACTATTGGGACCGACTAAAGAGCCTAAATCTGCATTCTCTTGAGCGCAAGCGGGAGAGATACATAATAATTTACACGTGGAAAATAATAGAGGGGTCGGTCCCAAACCTGCACACAGAAATAACATCACACGAGACCAGAAGGCATGGCAGGATGTGCAGAATACCCCCGTTGAAAAGCAGAGGTGCAATAGGTACCCAGAGAGAGAACTCTATTAACATCAGAGGCCCGAGACTGTTCAACACGCTTCCACTACACATAAGGGGCATAACTGGCCGACCCCCTCGCAGTGTTCGAGAGAGAACTCGATAAGCACCTCCAAAGTATACCTGATCAACCAGGCTGTGACTCATACATCACCTATGTAAACGTATACGTGTTATATGTTTTATGAGCCGTCGCTCATAAAACGGAGGAAAGGGTCCTGAAAGATATTGTTAATAGGAACGTTATCCCTACAGACAAAAATCAGAAAATACAATTGACAATTTACTATAAAACCAAAAAAACGGCCAACCTACTCATGAGAAACTCTCCAGACACCAAGCAGAACGCCTTGAAGGAAACCAACGTCGTCTATGCCTTCAAATGCCCACTTGGGGACTGTAAGCCCCAAAGAACTCAGTATATAGGCAAGACAACAACGTCTCTTTCCAGGCGATTAACAATGCACAAACAACAGGGCTCCATCAAGGAACATATAATCTCTTCTCACAACCAGACCATCACCAGAGAAGTCTTAACAAACAACACAGAAATCATCGATAGATACAGCTATAGCAGGAGGCTCGACATCAGCGAGGCACTACATATCAAAAAGTCAACACCAGCAATCAACAGCCAATTAATGCACAACTATATTCTACCCACTTCAAGACCCCGTACCAATATAGAAGCATCAAGAGGAAATATGGGCCAATAGGCCTTCTGCAGTTACTTCCATTCTTATGTTTTTATACCCATTGGTTCATGTTCTATCATGTGCAAATGTCAATCACCTCACTTAAAACTTTTGTACCATATCACCTCGCCCAAAACGAGTATAAGTATGGATGTATTTTGTGTGTTTACAGGTTACAGTTGACACATGACGTATTTGACGTGAGTTTAGGAAAGGTGGGAGATAGTCACACATCCCAGGCGCACCGTGGCTGCTAAACCATCATATTGCCGAGTCCTTTCTTGTTGGTGCCTTATATTAATGTCTGCTCACGGCAGAGTGACAGCTTGGCCACGCTCTATAAAGGTGAAGTCAGTGTGATCGGTATTGTCTGTCAGGTTCACCTGTTGTCCATCAGTCGGCGGTTAAATTTATATGTCTCAGGTATCACTGCCCTGTTGTCAACTCATTCGAAATTCCCTTCAGTTTAGCTGAAACCCATCCTCCTGTTTAGATAGTACCTACTATGACTAATAGTCACGAACTCGCAAGTACTAAGATTTTACATAGTAGTATACTGACTAGTAAGGAGTTCTTAAAAAAAAAGCTCTGCTCTTTCAGCCCGCCTCTCAACTGTCAATCAACTGTTACTAACTACCTTTTTTTCACACACACACACACACACACCTCTAGGAAGCAGCCCGCAACAGCTGTCCAACTCCCAGGGACCTATTTACTGCTAGGTAACAAGAGCATCAGGGTGAAAGAAAGTCTGCCAATCTGTTTCCGCCGGCGGCCGGGATCGAACCCGGACGAGTCCCAAGCGCTGTACATTGAGCCACGGTCAGCTGTGTTTAAGCAACAGTGACAAACATTAACATATGAGTATAAAGCCACCTGATGTTTACTTGTGCTCACATCCTCCCTCTGATGTTTACATGCTGCCTCTCCTCCGCGGGCGGGCGTCCCCAACACCCTGCAGTATTGAACACCATCCCGCGGACGCTTCAGGCCCAAGGACGTCATGAGAGCGTCCTCCTCCCCCCCCCCCCACCCCCCTTCCTATCGAACACTGCGCCCTGGAATGAGTCACTGGTGGCAAATAAACAGGCCTAGCCTCCTCACTATAGGTCGCTTACGTATTGTTTGTGCTAACTGGCGACTGGAAAATGTTTTCCAGTAAAACGATGTGGTTGAGGTAGACATGCTTTATCTATTTACCTTTCTGGGTTGGAGGACAAGGGAACAGTTCGTCGCGACAAGATGAAAATGGTTTAGAATTCCTACGTAAGGCCGTGTTCACTGATTTAAACAGTTGTCCGAGATTTATATGATTTATTTCCATACTTAATGGGATATCCGGCTTTGCCTCGGTCTCTCTCACCTCTCTTCCCTCTCTCTCACCTCACTTCCCTCTCTCTCACCTCTCTTCCCTCTCTCTCCCCCTCCCTTCCCTCTCTCTCACCTCCCTTCCCTCTCTCTCACCTCCCTTCCCTCTCTCTCACCTCCCTTCCCTCTCTCTCACCTCCCTTCCCTCTCTCTCACCTCCCTTCCCTCTCTCTTCCCCTATCTCACCCTCTCTTTCTTCCCTCTCTCAACCTTTCTCCTCTCCGCCTCCCCTCTCTCTCTCACTCTCGCAGACGATGAGTGTCGTGGCTGAGGACATAATGACCAAACCACACACCACAAGATGAAGGAACAACGACATTTCCATCCGTCCTGGACCACTACCAAGTCCTTGCTAACATGCGACTTAATAATGGTCCAGCACGAACCGAAATCTCGTCGTTTCTCCATCTTATGATGTGTTTGGTTATCCATCTCTCTCAATTACCCTACTATTTCATCTGTCTCTCCCTCTCTTCCTCTATTCTCCCTCTTCTCTTGTCTTCCTTTCCTCCCTTATCTACCCAAATGCCCCACCCTCTCTAACCTTCCCTTCCTCACCCCCCACTTTAACTTCCCCCCCCCCCTCTCTACCCCACCCTCTCAACCTTTCTCCCCTCTAACCCAGCATCCTTCCCTCTCACCCAGCATCCTTCCCTCTCACCCAGCATCCTTCCCTCTCACCCAGCATCCTTCCCTCTCACCCAGCATCCTTCCCTCTCACCCAGCATCCTTCCCTCTCACCCAGCATCCTTCCCTCTCACACAGCATCCTTCCCTCTCACCCAGCATCCTCCCCATTACGTCCCTGGGGCCAGTATTGCACTGTGACAATTGGTTGGTTAGCAATTATTTACATATGAAATATGTAAAAAAAATTCATCATGTGAAATATGTAAACAACTATTTTCATCAAAACAAATTCAACTTCAGATAGACAATGTTAACATTAGCAATCAAAATGCTGGAAAGTTCCTTGGCCTATACATGACAAGAGACTCAACTTCAGCACCAACATAGAACACATAACCAAAAAAGTCTCAAAAAACCGATGGTATACTTTCTAAAACCAGATATTATGTTCCCCACTCTGCTCTCCTTTCATTATACTACGTGCTTATCTATCCTTATCTCACATATGGTATCTGTGCATGGGGCTCAACCTCTGCAAACTACCTCAAGTCCATGATCACCCAGCAAAAACGACCCAGTCTATGGAAGTCACTCCCTGATGAATTAACAACTTGTCCAGCTCATGGCCTATTTAAAAGTAAAACCCCAAAGTAGGTAATGTGATCCTGATAGTTTCGTAGCTTGTGCTTCAAACTCACACTGTATCTTGTACTACCCACTTCCCAATATTAGTACTTAACACATATATATCTTCACTAGTGTAGTCACTTGTGTCAACTTATATTGTAGTTATATGTTGATATAAAACCTCCCTACAATGTACCTTTTCATCTTACCTGATATGTTAGATTAAGGACCTGCCAGAGACGCTATGAGTGTTACTGGCTTTGTAAGAATGTCAACATATCACTCTAATGTATTCTCACTAACTCATTGTACCTTCTTGTATATAAATTATTATTATTATTATTATTATTTATTTATTTATTTTAGTGTGATAGGCCCTGAATGTGGAGAGATTATTTGGTGTAAATGTTTTAATAAATATATAATTATATGATAAAGCTAGTCAGTTAGGTTTGTGTGCAAGGAAGGATTGTGTATATGTATATATACAGGCTGTGCTCACCCCAAAATGGCGGGCGATTGCGTCCTTGCCAGAAGTAGGAGCAATTTGAGGCTGCTAGTTTTGTAGTTACACTGTGATAATAATTGTGTATTGTATTGTAAAGCTAGGATGCTATAATTATACTTATAACGGCATGGTGGCAATTTAATATTGTATAAGAGGATAAGTCAATGGTTACTGTATGATCAGCTGATCAAGCAGGCAACAAACACATAGCGCTCTACTTCTGCAGCAACCTTGGGCTGGATCGGACGTTGGCTAGGCGACCCTTCCTCCTTTCCTCCTCTACTTCTTTACTATAACAAAGTTAAGTAACCCATGCCACGTGCCACTCTTTGGTTCTAAGTGTAATTCTGTCTGTGTTTCTTGGTCAAACCCTTGAGTTCCATGTAATTCAATCTAGGCACTTGCCATTGAACACGTGTCTGATATTGTTATACTCATTTAAGTGTTTTATCCCTTAAGGAAAAGTAGACTTTACACTAGTTTGCTGTATGTGAATCTCGTCTCCTGCCTAGATGGAGTCAGAGGTGTAACGTATGATCGAAGTGGTAAAGTATTATGTTGTACTTGGGGAGGTTTTAGGGTTAATAAATTATTCAGTCTTCGTGGAAATCGTAGAGGGTCGCTATAAGAGCCGATATATCTTAAAGAGTGGCACTGAGGCCGATCCCAACTTACCTATGACACTCCCATAACCCCCCCCTCCCCTCCATCCCATGTGTAATCTCGAAAAGTGAGTGAGATTAGCCCCAAGCATCTGGCCTTTAACCTTGAACAGCCATAAAGGCAAACAGCCATTTTCTTTTATATTATAGATCAATGGGTACAGACAGAAAGATAGGACTCTGTGGTATCTTATTTTCATTCCAGGTGTTTTTAAGTGTCAGAGTTGTAGTTCACTGTTATATTTGCTCTTGCAGAAGTGAATGAAGGTTGCAGGGCATGCACAAGTTCTCTCAGTGTATCACAAACACTTGGTTCACACCTACTCTATATAGAATATTATGTCTATAATCCAGGTGTTTCTAACCTCCATCCACGTTCTCTTGTCTAGATATACCTTATTTATAAAAGGCTGCTCTAGTCTACCTTTTCTGTTTCCTTCAGTGGCGCAAATGTGCGCGTCACTTAGCCAGTCAGGTTAAGCACCGTTGTGTCTGCCCAGTGACTGGATAGGTGACGACTAGGAGAGACATGGCTAGAGAATTGTTGATATACTTAAGTCTTCGTGTACCCGACAATGATATTCCAGTGTGTGCTACAAGTGTATTGTAAACTGTTATGTATGAGTTGTTCTTCTACAAGTCTTAAGTGAAAAGCGTTGCCTGTATACCAAATACATAAAGTAAACAAAGTAAGCTTAAACTGTATAATAACATTTAAGATGTATAACAACAGTTTGGTGCCCATAAAACAGGAATCTACCTGATATTGGTGGCTAGGCCAAGAAGATTAAGCAAATTGTTGCAAGCCAGTCGCACTTAATTTAGAATTAGGCTTTGTTATGTGTATATCCATTCAGTATACGTAAGTAGCAAATAATTACAAATAAAAAAAATCTTACCGTCCTAGAGGCTCGGGACGGCACCTGCTCCCAGGCAGGCAATGGCCAGGCTAACTTCATAACATCACTTGACATACCGCATTACAGGCGCCTCTGGCCTTGAAGGAGCCTGTCTTCTGGAGATTCTCCGCCTTGAAGAAGAGCTGCCTGCCGGCGATGGCGTCGAGGGAGGTCGATGTGAGGACAGGCGTTGCGTGGACAAAGGGACGAATCCTGAGGGCGGCGGCTTGCACCTCCTCCATCTCAACAGGCGTCCTGAACATCTTGCACCTTCCTCCAGACTTGCAGTAATCCTCCGTTGCTTGCTCCACCTGCAACACCAGCTCATCAACGCACTCACTCGTAAACAGCTAGTACACCTCTCACTACAACATTGGATCTATTTTTAACTTTCTAAAGCAACATTAAATTGACAAGTATAAAGAAAATAATGCATAGCCACGTCAAGCGGAAGCCTAGGAAGAGAACTCGCGGCAAGAGGGGTAGAAATAGCCTAAGCTACTCTATCCCTTTGAGATGTATTTTTTCTTGTCTCAATAAACATACTTGAACTTGAGAACACGCGGGGCGCTCATTTTGTCCATGTGTACACTGCAGAACAGGAAGACCCATACAACTGTTTGCCAAGGAATTAGCTAATAAAACACTATATATTTATTATTCGTTAAATATAATATTTCAGGGACTAAAACATTTTAATTTCCTGATAAAAACATTGTTTTTATGGCCACATACACATATCGAACAACATTTTGGTAGCACTTAAATACGCATTTACATTATAATGGTAATCTTATGTGTTTATATCATACTCGGTACTAAACTAAAAGCCTTTTATTACTTGGGAAATACGCTGAAATAAAAAAATACCTAATTAAGAAATCTTAATTTACAAACAAATTAAAATATTTAACGAAGTTTATCTATATACTGGCTATTATATAATTTGTTAATCCTAATGTCTGCCTGAATGTTAATATATATTTTATTGTGAGTTATTTAACAAGACAACAGTTTTAAGTTTGCTAGAGCTACACTATTTGCTATAGCAAAATTTAATGAAGCTTTAGGCTTTTAATGAAATAACGTTCCTGCTCAGAAACAAAAGCAAAAATCCAAATGCACAATAACCAGCAGGTATTCCACAAAATATTTGCCTGTGGTGAGGTGGTGGAGGATTACAGAGGTGTATGAGGGATTGTTGGGAAGAATGTCCCGACGGAGGAGCACACGTCCTGCAGACCACCTCGCCTCTACTGACTGGTATTGGCAGCCCCGGTGGACACCACACAATCATGCGCACTCAACCACCTTCAGGTAAAAAATTATTTTATAAACTAGACATATTATAATTGAAGCCATAAGTTCTGCATTGTTCGTTAAGAAAATATCAATGAATTCAATGATCTAGCAACGAGTAAGGGAGCTGCAGAAACCTTGAAAATCATTTAAAGCATTCTCCCTCTCTGGAATTTTCTAAATGTCAAGCAGCACGGAGGTAGAATCAGATAAAACATCAGAATCTGCCAACATAAGCTGTATACGGCTATCAATAAGCTGGAACTGGGTACAGCTTCCGGGTTTGAACCAAATAAGCCTTCATCTAACCTACTCTACATGTAATTGGCTCATCTCCCAGTCTCTACGCTGACATCAGTACCTTACTGGATTTATATTAACCAAACCAATATATATAATAAAGTTGACTTAAAATGTCATTTTTATGGATGGTGAAGAGTTAAAAACAGATACCCGAATTTACCTGTTGGCCTCTTATCTCCAGTGGTCTGGGCGGACACAGGGATGCAAGCCGGTGAGCTGTAGACGGTCCCGCACATTCCAGCACCGTATTGACCTATATGTTGCTGGACTGACCCATATTGGCATTGCTTTAGTTGCATATAACCCAGGCATACTACATGAAAGTCACATCATGTTGGGGTGTTGCGCGAGACATTACAGATATTAATGTGTTATAATGTGCTTACATAGTTGTGATTGCAAGGCTGATTTTCAGCTCTTGTACACTGTCTCTGAACCTTCAATCGACTGATATAGTGCATTATATCACGAACCATATTATTTTCTACCACTTAACTTCATAGTGAAGTATCGGTCAGGTGGTAAAAGGAACCAACCCAGTTATCCAGTATATTGATTATATGCAGCTCGTCTAGCGGGTGTATACTATTTTACTGATACTTAGATTAACTAATTTTGATATTTCATTTGGGAATGACTACATGACATCAGTTCAGTAATCACATAAGACTGTTAAAGGCTTTACAGCATTGTAATGTACATCGAAGGCTGATGCATATCTATGTATTACCTGTATGGCCCTAATTTATACTTTGGTCGATTCCTGGTGGCATCAATGGACCATTCACCTGGGCTCTAGGTGACTCGAACCCTGGACCCCACGTGTGTCAGGCCGAAGCTCTATCGACCAAACTATTGAGTAGTCTACTCAGTAGTAGACTTTCGGACCTCACTGACAACTAAATTCATAAATTTAAATCCCGCGGACCACTAATATGATCCCGCTGCACACAGCAATGTGCTGCTACCCTATTCTATATGAAAGATTATACAGTGTAGATCAAAAACTAGCTCTAAGTTCTTCTAATATTCCCATCTCACAGGATACGTAGTCATACATGAAATCAGGGGAGCAAATACCTTCTTCAATACAAAAACAAATCAACTCTGACTAAAAATCAGGAGAGAACATGAAATGTAAGGCGTGTGTATATCATTTGTGACCATGGTATACACACATGGTGACCATGACCATGTGTGACCACTGAGTGACCATGATAATAGTATCATGAGCAACCCGTCCTCTTAAAAATAACGTCGCGTTTGGCTCGTATGCGAGCTATGGCCAAAGGTAGACTTAATTTGAAATGAAATCAACTCACAAAAGTGACGTACTGTCCCGTTTTCTGTTTGAGTCGTCCGGCCTACTCGGACAGGTTAGGAGAGGAAACTTTCAGTTAACGTTTTTCATAACGTTTTGAAACTTTATGATAATTTCCTGCCCATCTAACCTACCAGAGGACCCTTAACTTACTGTTGAAAAAAAAATCCCAAATTTATTTTCATTTTTTTCCATTTTCAAATTACGTCCACTTTCGGTCATACGGGCAAACGGCCAAAAGCGACGTTATTTTTAAGAGGAACTTAATAGCTGCTCATGAGCTATTAAGCCTCCACTAGCAAAACCTAGGTACAGCCCAAGAATATCTTCCAATATTGCTATGGCTGGTGGCTCAGGACACACAACACATGGCGACCGGGGATGATGCAGCTCACTACCAGCTTCTGGAATATATACAAATTTCAAGTACTTCGAAACCTTTTTTTTTATATATATTTTGAGTTTTTTCATCCCTCCGCCTCCAGTTGGAATGATCTTGGTGATGGCGGCTGACGAGGACTGTAGAGGCTCTCAGTCATTGGTCAGCTCACGGTTAAGTGAAGTACACATATTACTGTTCATTCAGCTGGGGCTCTAGGAGACTCGAACTGTGGACCTCATGCGTGTGAGGCAGAGGCTCTATCCACTCAACTATTCCTTTGTTACTAGTATAATTAGTTTCATTGTAGTATTACAGAAATGCAAAATATTCCTTTGCTTTTTTCACTCATTATGGGTTTATTGCATTCGAATCTGAAACCAAACAAGAAATGATAGTTATTTAAGTCAAACTATTTGATGCCATTAAATATAACAGTTACCAAATATTATTATTTTTTTTTAACCAAGAAGGGGTGCAAGTGTAGGGACCCATAGCCTCGGAGAAGAAAATAAAGAGTACAGAGAAGACCTTGTGGATCCTCACTAAACACTGATATTTTCTTCTCCTACCACCCCTATTCTTTTGGTATGTGTGTATATATATCTAACTTTATTTGAAAATTTCATTACACAAAAAGGGTTACAACATTGGTTACATGCAGGGTACAAGGCTACTTGTCACAAGTTGTAGAGCTCCTCCAGCTCCTCAGATGGCGGCAGGAACTATGGATGCAGTTAGCATTTCCTCTCTGGATCGCCACACTAAGGCGCTGAAAGAGAAAACTGGCAGCTCTAGGGTCTCTAGTTGTTTCAATTAGCTTAGACCCCCAACTCCTTCAAAAAACTAGCAGCACTTTTACCCCAGGCACCAAGTGTCTCTGAGGCAATGGGGACAAAATTGTAGTGGTGATCAAGGTCTCTGTATTTACGTGACTTGGCTGCTTCCCGGTGATTGGCAGCACCTCCTGCCTGTGCAGCACTGAAGTCAACATAGGTGTTAGCTAAAGTTGAAACGCAAGTGTAGTCCCACACCAACTGTCTGCCATTCTTCCAGGGGTTCACCGTGATTCCGTCTGGGCGACCGACAGGCTCATCAGAGTTGTGGGACATTAGGTAATGGGGCTCTCTACAAATAATGTGTGGATTTTTCTGCGGACCATCAACATTTTCTCGGGGACCACCCGTTGGCGACCAACCGCTGCATGTTTTAGAGTCAGCTACTCGGAACAAAAAGTTCCAAGTAGCACCTGATACTTGGTACGGAGCGGGGCTGTAACTGCTAGGCGGCCGCTAGTCTACTCATTTTTTTTTTTTTTTTGAGATATATACAAGAGTTGTTACATTCTTGTACAGCCACTAGTACGCGTAGCGTTTCGGGCAGGTCCCTGGAATACGATTCCCGCCGCGATGAATCGTTTTTACAACCAAGTACCCATTTTACTGTTGAGTTAAACAGAGGCTACAGTTAAGGATTTGCGCCCAGTAAATCCTCCCCGGCCAGGATACGAACCCATGACAAAGCGCTCGCGGAACGCCAGACGAGCGTCTTACCACCACACCACGGCGTCTTACCACTCATTACCTCGGTCGATAGAGTTTCGGCCGGTTGCGTGGTGACCACCGGCCAAGTCGGACGCTCCTGAGGTCTCTCCGCTCCTGGCTAGTGTTTACGTTGGGTGATTGCTGGTTTGCCCTGCTGGTGGTGGTTTGCCACTGACAGGGTGACGTTTGACTTAGCCATGGGGACTTCTCGCCCTCCAGTGAAGAAGACATTGTCAGCTGGTCTGGCATTTACGGTGCCGGTGGACCATCCGTTGGTTGGTGTCGCCCTGGTGGACGTGCTACATGTGCAGCTGTCGGACCTGGTGGTCGTCCAGCTGCTTCAGGGCCACCGTGATGTGGTCAAGTTCCACCTCCAGGCTGCCTTTCAGGCGTTTCTCGAGCGGTGTGAGGGGGCGT